ATATAAGCTACTACTAAATAAAATAGTAGTAGCTTTGCTATGGTATTATAGTATATTTTGGATTAGATTTATTTGTTACAGAATAATACGAACTATATAAAAACCAAGGAGCGCATCAACCTACCTCAGATATTGGGTTATGAATACAGATAAGTACACATAGGATTTAATTTCTAAGTTGTACATATTTTTATAGCCTTCGTTATGAATAGCATAAACAGGCCAAGCCCCCTAGCCTACAAACGTTTCGTAACGAATCTCTTTCTGCAATCGCGCCTTTTATTTGTTTGGACTGACCACCTGACACGTTCAGTAATGTCATTCCCATACAGTGTTTAGTTTTCATAAAATAAATCAAAATTTTATTTATATTCTAATTGTGTCTGTACTCTGAATTTGATTTACAGTCGATCTCTAAATTGTAGTTTTCTTCTAATTACTTACCTTGTCTAGACGTGTTGTTTGGACGTCTGTAAGGAAGTCTGTGTTGTTAGTATTTCGTTTATATACGTTACTATTTTGATAGACGTTTGTGCTTGTCCCTGCAGTGACACAATGCCTATTGTTGATAACTTTCTAAGTACTAAGAGAATATTGCAAATCGCTATTGAACACAAACAATCAATAAACAATTTACAAACTAACATTTTTTATTTATTTAATTAACCTATATAAAAGCCCCACTCACATCAAAATCGCGCTGTCGAAATATCAGTTATCCTGACACTGGCTGGCATATACTTCGGGGAGTTGCCTGTGGGCTATTATAGCTAACTAGCTATGATAAGTAAATCCCTATTTAGAATACATAGTACCTACAGTAATAGTTGCATAACCTACAATAAAGTACAAAAGCACAAAGAAAACATAATTATGTTAAGTACACTTTTTTGTATTTGTTTTAGAAATGGTTATATTTTTTTCAAAAACGTTTTTTATGTTACCATTTTTAGTTGAGAGTTATATCCCTTTAGTGGGTACAGGCGTGATATTATATTGTGTGATTGCGTAAAGAATGCATAGATAGGCGATCCAAGATCCCATCATCAGATCCTGACCTGACCATCATCGATTACCGTGGGATTATCTGGAAAATATATCCTTTCAAACAAAAAAATAATTTCCCAAATCGGTTCAGGCATCTTCGAGAAATCGGGGGACAGAACATACATAAACAAAAACCAACGATTTGAGAACCACCTCCTTTTTTCGAAGTCGGTTAAAAAGTAGGTAAAAACAAATCAATGAAAATACTATATAATAACAATATCTACTTAAGTTCACGTTATAACTTTCATAATAACAACTACATAAATTGGGTTACAATAACACAAATTTGCTTTCTTTCTCCTTTCTCTTTTTAAAATACGTTACCCCCACAGTAGGATTTTCTCCAGTATCGTGGAGGCAGTTACAAACATAAATTGCACATGGACAAACATCCAGACCTGGAACAACTATTTGTAGTCCATACAAATTACGAATATTTGTTCCGTGCGGGATTCGAACCCGCGGCCCCCAGCGCAGCCTCATTGCTAAGCCACTGCAGCACGGAGCTCACAATTGCCGTGTGAGTTTATGTTATTATTCTAAAATGAATCGCATAGGTAGGTACGCGATGACGCCGTCGCGCATTGCGTCACTCGAGTGGGTATGTGTTTGCGCACTAGCTTCTTACTGCTCATCACAGCGTCTATCTCTTTCGCACGTGATGTCAGCTGAGTTAGCATGCATTTTTACCCCGCCCACCACTTAGTTCGTGCCATCGACTAGGGGCACCTTAAGATCCCACACAGTATTACTTACCGAACAAAGATTTAAATACATAGTTAGATGCGCCTTCACCTTGAAAACTGTGGCATTATTTTTGGATGTGTCCGTTTGCAAGACGCTGACGTGCGCACACTAATGCAGTAGTGTCATCTTTTATTATCTTACAGAAATTGTGTATACTACTTTCTCTGTCGCACAAATGAGCACTGATTGCGAATGAGTGAGCTCATTCATTTGAGAATTGACACATTTCGGAGTGGTCATACTATGGTAAGGGCGCATCTATTTAAATCTTTACAAAAATGATTGCAACATAAGCGTCCCATTATATATTTGGAATAGTATAAGCAAAATATAGTAATGTCCTCCAGACCAAATTTCGGTCACGGCAAACAGTGTTAACGGCGAATAGCCATCTGCGTAGAACATTGTAGGAGCTTTGTGAACTTGGAACCCGAACTAAAAAAAATAAAAAAATAAAACTTGGTACGCATACTACGAGCAACGCAGGTGATTGTAATAACCTTTACTCGTTTTTAGTCCTAAAAATCTTATAATAGTGAAATGTTATAATTATTATACATATTACAATAATTTTATGTATTCCTAAAAGCAGTGACATCTATGATCACCAAATTGTATCTCAAGATATCAATAGTATTTTTAAATTTAACCTTTATAAGTCATTTGTAATCGTGCGCGAATTTTGAAAACAGTTCGTCATTATCGATTGTGGATGGTGTTACTTTTCATAATACTACTCTGTTAAAAGCACAGAGTACATTATATTTAGATTAAAATATATGTCAGCGATACGCCAGTGTTTTCACGCTCGTAGTCTATCACAATGAAACAGCACACTAAATTACGTAGTTTATTATTTTTCGCACAAATGCTAGTATAGAACAGAACCGTCTTTCTCTGGTTTCGATGATGTTGGGGCTGTTAGCCAATGCGGCTATTACAGCTTCATAGGAATACAGCTTCATAGGACACAGAACCATCTTTACATAAATCCATAGATAAATAGATACGTAGCAAGCTACATAAATCTACTACCGCCGAAAACTACACGATGGCATATCCAACTTAATTTACCTAAATAATACTAACCTCTATAGTACGACCAATAAAGGTAAATACATGAATACCCTATTCTTTTTCTGTTGTGTGTGTCATTCATAATTTCCGATATTTTTCATAAGAACGTTTATTATATAATAAAATTTTATTTTTTGTTGAAAAAAATTACTAATATTTATAAAAATACGATATCCAGTAGACGGCGTAAAATACGGCAGGTCAACTGTAATTACTTCTATTACTAATAATAATCGTGTTCTGTGCTAATAATTCTCTTTGTGTTGCCTGTGTCATTCATAATTTCCGATATTTTTAATAGAAACGTTTATTATATAATAAATATTATTTTTTGTTTTACAAATAACTATTTGAATTTAAATCATATATTTCGGATATTTCTATAAATATTCACTTAAAACGATAAACTAAAACATAAATATCAATATTTGCCAATTATTGCTGATAGATGGCGATTTGCGCCCACATAATTACCTCCTATTCACTCTCTGGTATCATGGAGTATAGAGGTACTCTACACTCCATATCTGGTATACAATGTATTATCTATGCTTTCAGTTTTCATTACAGTAATCTATGGTTTTCATATTGTATTGCCCGTCAGGGTAAATGTATTCTGTGATATTGCCATAGATAAATAAATATGTAGCAAGCTAGTTATTGCATATGGCGTCTTCTACATGCAAAGTGAATGTTAGTTGTCTTCAATATTTTATATAAAAAATTCTGAATAATACATAAAATTAATCAATGTAAGTCTACAACTTTTTTTCTATTATACTTAGTTATTTTTTAGGTTGTTTTTAACTATAATTTCGCACATTCAATCATCATTTTACTGAATATATTGATGTTGTTTACAGATAGACCTTCGCTCATTAACATAGTGGCTCAAAATGCCACGTCAACCACTCTACACTCTTGAAGAAGTTCGTGAGGCTTTAAAAGATAAAAACTTTATGGATAATGGAAAATATTTGGAAAGAAACCATCGCATTTGAACAGCACGTGATTTGTTTCCAAAAATGACTGTGGACTATTTATGGACTTATACTACAAAAAATCGTAAGGATGTCTCTTCTAGAATTCATAATCTACCTAAATTAAAAATAAAAAATAAAAAAGTTTGTAATATTTCCAACTGGAAATTCATTAGACTCTAAAACAATGGAACCAATTTCGATTGAATTTAAAATTGTATAAAGATGGTCGGGAGTATGAAGTTTTTGAACCCGGTTGGACGGATCTTTTTATCAATCTTATGGGAAAATTTAAGATACCTTGTCCTTTTAAATTCCAAAGTGCAAAAATCAAAGAAATACTGAGGAACATTTTTTTACGATCAAAGGCACTTGCATCGAATGCCTATAGTGCGTATATATGCGAATATCTATAGTGTAAATGAGATAATATACGGTGATGATATAGACATTCGTGTGTTTGTTCATTCAATACAAAAAATGTCCAACATTTAAAGAAAAGACGGCTACGTGCGAGAACACGCGAGAAAGCACCGAACACTATTATGCGAGAAAGTGGCTAATACGTTGAAAGGTCAATCGACATACATGTATCGACGAAATGTAGCTAATCAACGCATGAATTATCATATTTCATGAAAAATATAAAAATATAACTTTTAGTGATTTTCATAAGATTTTTCTTATGACTACAAACAAATAAAGGTTATTAAAATCACCTGCGCGTTGTTTGTAGAATATGTATCAATTTTTATTATCTTTAATTTTTTTTAATTATAACTCTTTTTATAATATAAAATCTACAATATTTTTTTAGTGTTATAATCATCTATGAACGACGCTGAATGCATTGGTAATCAATATTTTTCGAAAGTTATCATATTTAACCCTTAAAACCACACATGGGGGAGTGAGCTCCCCCACCACTCACAATTTCAGAAATATTTTAAGTGTTTGAAACGCAACGCGGTTCAGTTTTTGGGTATTCCCAGTGCCGCCTGAGGTCCGCGGAGAGTGGACGCGTACCTGGTTACTGTACTTAGTTCAAGAGGTACGAGTTGATGGGGGAGCCTAGTCCCCCACGAGTGTAATTATGTTAGTTTTTTTTTGTAGTTTCATTTACTTTTTTTAGGTTTGTGGCGCAATATGGATAAAAATTTGAATCTGCAGCAGATACAAGATCTGTTGAATGCCTTAGACTCTGACGAAAACGTGAATGAGGACATTTTTCCTGATGCATCATCGGATTTGAGTGACGCGGAGTCTGAAATCAGTGATCACAATACTGAAAGTGAAGAAGAAGCGGAAAGTATCTCTGAAAACGAAGACTCAAGTGACAGCGATGCACAAAGCCGTAATAGCAATGCTTTTTATGGCAGAAACAGGTACAAATGGTCTAAAGTACCACCATCACGATCACGGGTGCCAGCACATAACATTATTATTCATTTACCTGGTCTAAGAGGTCCTGCACAAGCCAAAAATGAAATATCTCCATTGGAAGCATGGTCTTCTCTATTTACTGAAGATATTATTGACTTGATTTTACAACATAGTAGGTAATGAAAAAATCACAAATTAGTTAGAGTTACGTCTATGCGCGTATTTTGCGTGTGGGCGGGAATAATGTGATTATTCGAGCCATAAGATCTCCCCGAAGAAGCTCAACAGTCCCTTGATGTTGCATGCAACTTCGGGGGAGTGATCCCGGCGTGCCGAGATGTTTAGCCCTGTACGTAGCGACCTCCGGACATTTCAGTAGCACGTGGGCCGCCGTTTCTTCCTCCCCCATACATGCCCTGCACAGGGGACTATCTGTAACACCTATAGTAAATAAATGTTTGTTAAAGGTGCCGTGTCCTGTGATAGCACTTGTTACTATCCTGATCTGCGGCTTGTTCAGTCTCATTAGAACTTTGGTTAAGCGGCTGTTTATTACAGGTAGGGCCTCCCTAGCTTGTCTACAGTCTACTAGATTTTTCCAAAGCTGAGCGTGTTGATTAGTGAAGTGTCTACGTACCATTGAACGAACGTTACCAAAGGGGATTGGTATGATTGGTTCCGGCCCTATAGTGGCCAGAGCCGAACCTCTTCTGGCCAGTTCGTCCGCTGCATCGTTGCCTCTGGATCCGCTGTGTCCCTTTATCCATTGCAGAGTCACATTGTTGTTTTTACATACCTCATTTAATCGTTGATGGCATTCATATATTAGTCCCGAGTTCACCCCATTGCAACTCAGAGCTTGTAGTACCGCCCTACTGTCGGTCATTATTCTGATGGGGAAGTCATTAACCTTCCTACAATCTATTGCTATGGCCGCTTGAATGATACCCATACATTCCGCCTAAAAGACCGTGTTATAGGTACCCAGCGGTGTGCATATGTGAATATTGAGGTCTCCAGAGAAAGCTCCAGAACCTACACCTTCATTTGTTTTAGAGCCATCGGTGAAAATTCTAAGCTCTTTTGGGCTTAATCCTTCCGGCTGGCTGTTTTCATTTAATTGTATCTTGTATTTCTTATAGAAAATGAATTGTTTAGGAATCCTATCGTATTTGGCTTGTAGGATAGGAATTTCTGAGTGAATTCTATCAATTATGCCTGTATGAGGGACACTATTCTTACTCCAAAGATTTAGGGTCTTGAGTCTGATGGCAGCTAAAGTCGCTTCTTGTTGTATATGTAGATGAAGCGGAGTTAGCTCCAGCATCGCTTCCAAGGCTGCTGTTGGCGTAGTTCTTGTGCAGCCTGTGGCAGCCATACATGCCAGTCTCTGGTAGCGCTGAAGCTTCTTAATTGTGGTGGCTTCATTTGTCTTGGTCCACCATACCAGAGCGCCGTATGTGATCATGGGCCGAATTACAGTTTTGTAAAGCCACAGTATGATTTTTGGCGTCAGTCCCCATCTTTTGCCAATCATGTTTCTGCATTGCCAGAAAGTTATACTAGCTTTGTTGATTTTGTTTTCTATGTGTTTATTCCAGTTAAGTTTGCTGTCCAAGGTAAGACCTAAATATTTTACCTCAGAGGATAGCTGGAGTTTTGTGCTGAAAAGACTTGGAAGATGATAGTTATTCAGCATTCGTTTTTGTGTGAACATTACTAAAACCGTTTTATTTGGGTTGACGGTTAATTCGTATTCCCTGCACCATCTCTCCACTATACGGAGAGCCGCTTGGGTCAGGTCGCACACTATGCTTGCTGTCTTTCCCGCGACCAGTATTGTCAGGTCATCAGCATAACCTACTGTATAGAAGTGATTGGTATTTAATTTGCTGATGAGTTCATTAATGACCATATTCCACAGGAGAGGTGAGAGAACCCCACCCTGCAGGCAGCCTTTCTTAATTAGGATTGGTTGAGATTCACCAGCAATCTTTATTATTCGTGTACTGAGCATGCAAACTATCCAGTCGGTCAGTGCCGGTTCAACTTTATGTCTACTGAGTGCACCTTTTATGCTGGAGAAGTTCGTTCTGTCAAAAGCACCTTCTATATCTATGAAGGAACCTAGACATATTTCTTTGTTTTGGATGGCCTCTTCAATCTTTGTAATTACCTGATGAAGTGCCGATTCTGTTGATTTGCCTAGACTGTAGGCGTGTTGCTTGTCGTGTAGTTGTAAGTTCATTAGCGCCGACCCCCTTAATTCCCTTTCACACATCCTCTCCATCGTCTTTAGGAGAAAGGATGTGAGGCTAATGGGCCTGTAGGATTTAGGGTCAGTGTAATCGCTCTTACCTGGTTTGGGTATAAATGTGACTTTCACTTCCCTTCATCCCCTAGGAACATATTTAAGAGCCAGACAGGCTCTCATTATGGCAACAAGTCTGACTATTAGGGCTTTACCCCCCCACTGTAGAAGTGCCGGGAATATGCCGTCAGGTCCTGCCGCCTTATAGGGGGAGGAAACTGTGAATGGCCCAATGGATTTTGTCCATCGTTACCACTCTCTGTGCTAAATTCCAGTCTTCTACTGTTGGTGTCGGTATGTCATCATGCCGGTTTGCCTCCTGGGTTACGCAGCAACCTGGGAAGTGCGTTTTAATTAGGATGCGTTGGGCTTCATCCGGCGATGTTGAGTAGCTACCGTCGGGTTTCTTTAGAGACATGGATCCCGACATGTTCTGTTTAGCTAGAATATTCCTTATCCTATTAGCTTGTTCGCAGGTTTCTATGTTGCCACAGAATTTACGCCACCCAGTCGAGCGTCGATACCTGATACATTTTTGTATTCAGACTTAGCTTTTTTATATAGTAGCCAGTCTTCATCCATTGAGGTATTCATGGCCCTATTTAGGGCTTTTCTTACCTTCTTACGTTTCCTATCGAGTTCTTCACTCCACCACTGTTGCTTTACCTCGGCATGCCTTGGTGGAGTGATTTCTGGACATGATTCGTGGTAGCTATCTATCATGGCCTTAGTAACAGCTGCTACCTGTTCTTCTAGGAGTGACTGATCTGCTATAGTATTTATCCCCTCAAAATCCGCGAGCGAAGACGTCAGCATATTTAGGTATTTTGTTTTATCCGTCTTGCGGGGATTTCTCCATGGTGGTGTAGAGGGGATATCGACCTGTAGTGCGAAGCAGATCCATCTATGGTCTGAGCATGAGGCCTCTTTCGACACATGCCATCCCGTAATTAGTTTGGCTGCTCCTTCTGTTGCAAGTGTGAGGTCGATTATAGTGCGACAGCGTTTGTTTATGAAAGTAGGTTCAGAACCTATGTTTAAAATGGTAAGGTTAGTACTAAATAAATATTCAACTAAATCCTTACCTCGTTCATTTGGTTTTTCCATTCCCCAAAGGGGATGATGTGCGTTGGGAGTCCGTCCCGATCACAACCTCTAGTCCGGTCCTCTCGCAGAAGTTCACCAGCCTGCCGAGGTCATGAGGGGGAGGAGTGTCTTCCTCCGGCATGTAGACCGAGGCCACGACTAATCTTCTCTCCTGTGTGTATTGTAATGCCACGGCATACATGTCTCTAGAACAGAAATCTGTTAATGGTTGTGCACAGATATCTTTAGTAGTGTAAATACACGCTCGAGGCTTGTCGTGTTCAGAGCTGTAGATTAGCTTACCTTTAAGGTTGTTTAGGCCTTTAATTTTACCAGCCCCAACCCACGGCTCCTGGATTAAGGCTATGGCAGTCCTTTGAACCTCCAACCACTTGCGTAATTGAGCCGACGAAGTGTCGCTGTGGTGGAGTTTGGCCTGCACTAGGCTAATTTTGGACGAAGGGCACGCCATCATTGATCGCGTCCTCCCCGTCCCCGACCAAAAATAAGCCTTTTTTTTTGCGGATGGAAAATCATCTAATGACGCCTTTCGCTCTGGGTGGAGCGTAAGGGAGTGTCAGACTTTTACTGACTAAAAACCATCCGTGTTCCTTCAGTGCCCTTACGTTCCGGAGCCGCGGTATCTCTTTCGAACAGCCCGCAGCCCCGGCAGGCGTCGGCCCTTGTGGGCCCCTTCACGCTGCTGACAGCTCTTTGAGGCGAACAAAACGCGCCGTCGCCACGGCCTGTCGCCATTAGACGGACGGACGACGAGCTACCCATTGCTCGCCGTCCACAGGCCCGCGCCTACAGTGGCCGGGGGCCACGACGTAGCCCCCGACGCCCGGGGGCGTCTCCCGCGGCGGCCGGGGAGGAAAGCTGCTGCTCTCTCTTTCTCCCGCTCCGCCAGCTCCTTCGCTAGCATCACTGCTTCGCAGAAGGTGGTGACGGCATCCCATTCATTCTCGCTCCGGACCATGGCTTCGACCAGGGCCGGACGCGAGAGGTCGCCGCCGCCTATCGCCGCTACGAGGACACGGCGGTGCTCCACCCAAGCAGGGCACACCTCCACAGTGTGTTCCACCGTGTCCTCCGGTCCATCCTCGCAGTGGGAGCACCCGGGCGTTTCCTCCCGCCCGATTCGGTGCAGGAACCTCCCGAACACACTGTGTCCGGTGAGGACCTGCGTCAGGCGGAAGGTGAGGATGCCGTGGCGTCTCTCAAGCCACTCCTCAAAGAGGGGTCTTATCGCCGCTATAGTGGCGTGCCCAGCACGGGGTTGCGACAGTCGCTGTCTATATGTCGCCATGAGATCGTGCCGGAAGTCTGTCCGCTGCGCGACAACTTGCCGCGGCAGCGGGGTTTCCCCCACGGCATAGTGCCTCCGCGCGCCATTCGTGCAGGCACGCGAGGACTATCGCCTCCAGATCCCATGGCGGCAATCCGGCAAGGAGGCTCGCCGCCTCGCGGGAGATCGTGCGGTAGCCGCGAACCATTTTCACGGCTATCACCATTTGGGGCGCGTTCAGGTGGTGGACGGCAAGCCGCGCCAAACCACGCGCCCACACCGGGGCCCCGTAAAGGGCCATGGACCGCACGGTCCCCGCGTAGAGCCTCCGGCAGGAGGCGTTTGGCCCTCCCAGGTTCGGCAGGAGCCGCCTGAAGGCAGCCCCGGTCCGTTCCAGTTTGGGAGCCAAACGTCGGAAGTGCTCAACGAAGTTCCATCGGCCGTCGAGGACGAGTCCTAGGTACTTCAGCGTCGACTCGACGCCGATGAATACCC